CATCAAGAAGTCGCACGACAAATGCAATCTAATTACAGATATCCACTTCTTTATTTCAGTTTTTTGAACAATTTGATGAAGATGAAATTGGAGCCTTGGATAACGTGGAGTTAGAAGGCTATATTAACACGGACAATGCTCGGTTGCAGGAAGTCCTGAATGATTACTATAAAGAGAAAGCAAAAAAGTATGTATTCCCGAAAGTACTGCTTCACATAAGTAGTTATGTAATCCTGTGTTTATATTGAAAGTTTGGGTATGTTGTTTCCAGTTCATGTACTCAAAGATTACATTCCACAGTAAAAGCAGCTACATATGAGTATTAACCATTTTTTTTTGATGTCACTGAATATCAATCTTAGCTTATGAGATGATAAAATTAAGTGGAGGCATTTTGTTGGTTTATGTGAGATTATGCTCCTTTTTGTATAATTGTATTGAATTTAGTGTGAGTAATATCTAGACGCATTCTTCCTTTCCCCTTTTAGTATAACTTACTTTTTTCCTTATACCTTTACTTTTGTTTTTAATGGACTCTGTAGCCAAGTAGATTCTGTCCTGCTGGTATGCAGCTGATTCCATTGTATACCTAGTTACATGATAATAAACTCACAGGCGACTGTTGCATGGGTACCACTGTTTGGAGCACTGCAAAAATCAGTGCTTATAGAGCAACCCCGTGTCAATGTAAGACTGCATTTCCACAGTATATTCACTTTGTCTTAAAGCAGATGATATTATCCCAAAGTTAAATGGCTAAATGTTCTCACATTAGTCTTGTGTTTCCTGATTGAAAGATATGGTAATATGTCCCTTGTAGTGAAAGACGACTGGTCAGTAGCAGAGTATGTAATGACCTCTAGAGCTGCCTTGCTTACAGACTAAAAGGTGTACCCTCTTCTCTTCCTGCCCTCGATCACAAATATTGTGTGCCACATAATTTTTGAAATGCAGAAATACTTCTATTGTCAGCTATGTCTCTTGTCCTAATGTTTTGGTTTGTTTTGGGGATGCTTACTTAAGGAAACTTACTTTTGCTGCAAGTTTCATTAGGAACAGCTTTCTTTGGTTTGGGGTTTTACTGAGGGGAGACTGTGTTTACGTAATTACATGTTTTCAAGAAAAGATAAACCTTATTTTTTTTCTTCTCTGGACTTCTTCAAAGTTGTGTGAAGTTGGATGCTCTTGAACCCTGTGAAGATGTAGATTCTCCTGTGAATGAAGAAAGTGAGGAAGAAAAGGAAGAAATAGTAGCTGTAGTTATTGAGGAACCAAAAGAAAAGTGGGATTGCGAATCCATTTTGAGTAAGTATTTTGGAGTTCACTTGTTTGTTTCTAGGATTCCAAAGTAAATGATGGGTGATCTCAGAACTTTTCTAACAGTGCTTTAGGTAAAATGGTTTATGATTCTGGAGCACAACAGCAGGAAGTCTTGCTAAGCAAAACTACTGCTTCTGCGTGGATAACTTAATTCTTGCGATTTTATATCTTCAAACACTAAATAGTAGTACAATTCATAATAAATTTACTTAATTTCTATTTGCAAGCCTTTCTTCACTACTTTTTTTTTTTTCTTTGTGACCTAGGTACATATTCAAACTTATATAATCACCCAACACTTATTAAGGAGCCATCAAAGGTAAAATCACTAAACTTATTCTGAGCAACAACCTGGCTTGGGAAAATTTGAGACAAACGTGATTGTTTTCTCAACGGATATCTGTTTTTAAAAGACGGAGGGAGCAGAAAAGAGGGTTGGGGAGGGTGTTAGCCTCTGGTATTACTTTTTCACTGAAGAGGGGTTTGGATATGTTTTTTTCTATTGGAAGGAAAGTTGAGTAAGTTCAAAATTTCTGTAATAGCTAGGCAGAAACCTAAGAGAGCAAGGAACTTACGTTCTTGTTATTTGTGATATACCTTTGTGTAATCTGTGTCTCACAACCACATACTAGGGTTTTTTTTCTTGAAAATAGGCTTGTATTTCCCCTAGTTCTTTGGCCTTCCAGGGGTTCCCCATCGTTAGAGCACAGCTTGATGTTCCAGATGTGTGAGATTTTTGAAAGGAAACCTTCTTCCTGAAAGCTTATAAAGGAATATTAAAAGCATACTTAAGTTCTTTTTTTCAGTAATATTTAAATAAAATGGAGAAACTTTTTCTTGTTCTGGGAGGCCAGATTCTGCTCACAGGTGTGTTTGATTTCTTACTTTGGGATTAATGTGCATTTTTCTGAAGGAAGAAGATAGTTTGAGGAAACTTACATGTTTATTACTGTTAAATCTGAATCTAATGTTCTTATACTGATAAGGCAGGGCGATGTGCACTTCTTGGAGAGAAAACTAGGGACCATTAATACATATGCGCTCTCTATTTTAGCCCAAACCAATAGAAATTTCCCAGAAGACCGGAATTCCCCTACATGTCTTGCCTCAGAAAGGTCTTACTGCTAAGCAGATTGAACGCATGCAAATGATTAATGGCAGTGACCTGCCAAGAGCATCAACACAGCCCCGTTCCAAAGATGAGAGCAAAGAGGATCGCAAAGCTAGAAAACAGGCAATAAAAGAGGAGCGAAAGGTACACCTTATTTTCAATAAAACCCTGCAAAAACATGTTGTATTATCTGGATTCTGTCTTATGAACTTTTTTTTAAAGGTCATTTGTTCTTGTGTCTGGAAATTAATGGGAAAAACTTGCTGGTCTCAAAGGGCTAATTATTGCTTCTTTAAAAAAATCTACTGGAAAGAAAGTTAACCTCATAATTTTGTCATCCTGATTTCCTATATGGAAATTTTGGTCTGTTATTGTGGCCACTATTACGTATTTAACTTCGGAAGGAGCCCTCGTATTTCCTTATTATCTAGGGAAGCAAAGAAAACAGTTATGATGTTTCAGATCACAGAAAGTGAAAAGTCTCTGAAAGAAATGTGGAAAATCTAATTGGCCACAATGATATACTAGTTGTTTTATTTAGGAACAGAAATTGCCAGCATGTTAGAAGCTTCAGCTAATTAACGATGATAATCCTGGTGGTACACATATTAATTTGACTACTAATAATTAGTGCCATAAATAATAACGTTGTCCAGATTACTGCTGTTTTCATGATGTAGAACTGTTAATTAGAATGGTTTCTTTTGCATGTTACACCTATTTTGTAAATTTGTAATTATTCGTATGCACAGGAACGCAGAATGGAGAAGAAAGCCAACAAGCTAGCCTTCAAATTGGAGAAAACAAGGCAAGAAAAAGAGTTGCTCAATCTGAAACAAAACATTCAAGGACTGAAGCTGTCTTGATGAAACTGAGGAACTTATTGTGGAAACATCCTTAAGTTTTCCTTTGTATTGAGAAGGGAACTGCTGACTCAAAGCTTTGCCGATCATGCTCAAAGGGGGTTATTCAGATGTTTCTGTAACAAGAACCAGTAATTTGTCATTCTTTCTGAAATGAAGTTACACATAAAACAATGTATTAGTGATGTCTATTTTGTCATGAGTGACATGGCAACTGTTGCAAAGTTTCATTACAGCAGAAATGTATTAAAATTACAAAAAAAAAATTTTTCTTACAAGCTATCACTGGACAAAGTTTTATGTATATATATTTGTTGAATGTATTCAACAAATCAGCAGAATCCTACAGATTTGATCTGATTAGATTCTTCTTATTAAATTATTTCAGTTTGCAAAGCAATATATCCATTTATGTCTTCTCTCCCTTATACTGATGGTTAAATACAGTGCCTTGATAATAGCACAGTTTTGTAAGTCAAGAAGTTTTCACCCACTCCTGAGTTCTTTTCTGGGTTGGTTATTTATTGTTTGGGTTCTATTATGAAAGATGTAAAATAACCTTTTGTAAACAGAGGTGTCTGAAAAGCTGTTGTCTGGCTACTCATCCCTGTTACCTAACCTGAGTTTTGCATTTCTTAGCAAATAAAATCTGTCGCAACAAGTGTTGCAGTGGCAGTAGTCAGTGACCCTTACTGTTGCTGTTGAAATCAGCTTTGCTGAAAGTACTCAGCCTGAGTAGTATGGCAAACAAAACAGCAGATACTTAGAAAAAGACTGTATGTTGCAGATAGCCCTTGTCTTGATTTTCCTGAAATACTATTCTTCAGGTCTTGCATTCAGCTTGGTTTCGTTGAAATACAAACTTATGATTCCTGCAATTGTTGCAAAGACTTCCTGAAGATGAGCAGCGGGCCAGTATCTTTAGGCTTGGTGTGATCTTAAATTTCTGTACTGTGGGTGTGAATTATTCTGATAGTGACAAGTCCATATATGTGAATGAAATGAATCCTTCTGTATTCATAAGAAACCCTCAGCTTTAGGTCTTTAGGACTATAGACTGAGCAATCTTCTGCCTTTGTGTGAAAAGTTAATCATTTTACTGGTAAGGAACACAGTAACCAATATGTCAGTACAGTGGCTTGACTCCTACTAAATTCAAAGCATCTTAAATATTCCTAAAATAGTTTTGTGAATACTACATGGAGACAAGCTAACAGAAGGACTGATGAGGCCTTTTAATGTACAGAAACAATTCAAAGTACTTGTATTTATTGGAAGAAGGCTTTTATAATATATTTTAATTGATAAAGTAACATGGTTTTGGGAGAAGGGGATAAACGGGCATTTAAGTCTACAAGTCTCTTGATCAACTGCTCGGAAAACTGAAGTGTCAATGCAGTATTCACATCTAGATAAAGCCTTCGTCTTCTAAAATTGTTCAAGAGTCTGTCTTAACCAAATCAGTAGAAATCATCTGAAAGATCAGAACAAGTTTCAGGGTTTTCATTTAGCTGATGTCTGTACTAGTTTTCATATGTTTCACAGGCTTAAGCAGGGTCTGCCTGTGTCATAATTGTCAATTATGTAATTGTGGATGCATGGCAACTTGAAGTGTGGTAACTTTGAATAATGAAGATGGACCGCTTAGTCCTCATGACTCCTCACAACAACGCGGAAGAGGAAATTTGAGAAACCATTATATTGAGATGAGTCAGATACCAGGAAAGCAGTTAAATGGAACAAGTGAGCAACAGATGCTGTTCAGTGGTTTGGGTCGAATGTGATTTTGTGATTTACTGAAAAGGAAAGTCTTTTACTGAAGACAATGCACATGTTCTTTACTAGAACATCTGCTGTTGTACATGTCTAAAGTAACCTTCTGTGGCAAATTATCCTTTTTCCTGACTTACTGCTGATTCAGTGATACTGTGCTTGTACCTAAATTCCTTTAGAAAAAAAAAAAAAGCTGTATCAGTCAAAACCTTGAGGGGATGAAAACAGAATAAAAGGGATGGGGGAGGCAGAGGAAGACGCTTGAAAGGAAGAGTATAGTCCAGACTAAGCACAGGCACACGGAAAGATGTTGCTTGGAAACAAAAGTGGAAAGACATTTAAACAGAGGCAATAGAGTAAGAGTCAAAAAGGTTAGAGAATTGCTTTGTTCCTCTACACTTGTAATTAATGAAACACTGCAGTAACCTTAACTCTGTGCCTTGGAGTATGGTAAAATCTGAAGGAAAAGGTAAGAAACAAAAGCAGTCACACATCTGCTTCTGCTCAGCAAGACAAGGATTTCTGTTGTTTCAGCAAGAGCAGGTAAGGAACGCTTAAATGAGAAGTCTTTCCCTCTGTAGGTTACGAGTCTCATGAAAAGGGCTCTTTGTTATTGTTAAAATTGTTCAAGTTTTCCTAAAAGCCGTTTTCTTTTAATACAAGTAATGTCCCTGCTCTGAAATGAGATGTGACTGCCATTGGAGTCAGAAAGGCTTAAAACTACTTTCCATGTAACTTAAAAACCTATTTTTTTTTTAAAAAGTACCGATCTAAAAACAAAAAAATCCTCACAAATTTGACATCTACAAAGCAAGATCATCTTGGAATGCTCTTTAGCTCGCCATGGAAACGTTCCGTCTTAAGAATGAGGACTGTGTCACACTTAGTGTGCCACCTGCTACTTTCTGGAATAGCAACGGTTTACCCTGAGCCATTACTGGGCTGCGCTAGCTCCTGATGACTTACACACGAAATGGAATAAATTCGGGTGCAGATCGCCTGCTTTTGCTTTCCAGCCCCCCTCCCTGAATTTAGGCAGCGGTGACTTTGAGTACTCTTCCATCCTCGCCTCGCCCAACCGTGATGTCGTTGTGAAAGGACATACCTGAGCAGTCATGTGGAAAACAAAAGCTGTCCATCGTAGTAAAGGAGAGCTTGGGCTTTATAGGAGCAAGATAAATAAGGTAGTTCTGCAAAAGGGAGCCCTGGCACAAGACTGTAGGCATCTATTTCTGACAACGAAATACTGTTTCAGCGAGGGCTCAGTCCAAACGCTGACTCTGCTGTAGTCGAGCTGTCCTGTGCTGTGTAACTTAGACTCTTGCATGGTTTGAATTTTACACAGCTGCCCGAAGTCAAGATCTGGTTCCTTGTACAACCTGTGGAAGGCATTTTGCACAAGATGTTCTGGTAAAACAAAACTTTTTTTTTTTTCTTCTTTTAATGGAATGTCAATTCCTGAAAGGGGTGGTGAGCACCGGGGAAGAAGAAGGTGGCTGCTGGTAGAGAAATGACTTGAACACATGTTTACAAGAGCAAATGATCTAGTAACTGCTTTCATTAGAGAACTTGATTAGAGAATTAATGATCATAGAAATATGGTGACTTAATCTGCAATCTTGCGCTATCTTAATTTACCTGCTTGTCCAAAACCAGATGTTTACTATATATCACATTTAAAATAATGTATTATCTCTTGGTGAGACATAAATTACTAACCTGTACGTTTACAAGAGCAAATGATCTAGTAACTGCTTTCATTAGAGAACTTGATTAGAGAATTAATGATCATAGAAATATGGTGACTTAATCTGCAATCTTGCGCTATCTTAATTTACCTGCTTGTCCAAAACCAGATGTTTACTATATATCACATTTAAAATAATGTATTATCTCTTGGTGAGACATAAATTACTAACCTGAAGCTTCCTTTGTGTTCCAGGTTTCTAGGCAGAACTTGTTATTTCAGGCTTCCTGGGAAAAACAGACTAATAAACCATCTGATAAGTAGTCCCTTTGACAGCATAATGCGGGCACCAGGCTCTGTTCCAAAGCCTGCTGAAGTGAATGAAAAGATTCCCCCTGACCTCCCTGATCCCTGGATTACAAACTAAAGGGGTGCCTGCACAGTTTGCCTGGCACAACCCAACTGCAGGGTTGTTCTGCAAGGGGGGGTTCTGCACGCACCCCTCCTCTCCTCAGTTTGCATTACTGATCCCGTGACTCTGTGGTAAATCAGATCAGCCCCACAACAGAACTAAAACCTGATTTGGGGAGCTGGGGAGGAAGACAAGAAAAATACGCTGGAAGCTGAGTAACTGGGAGCACTGAGACGCAGGTGGAACTACCCCGTATTAGTAGTTCAGTGTTTGGTATCTCAGATCAGATACGTGAAGAATATGATGGTTTAATCTAGCAAAAATGTTTGAAAAGACAGTTATCTGTTTTTTGGGGAGGCGGGAATTTTCTTGTCACTCTGACTAGCGAGAGATACAAGTCCTGTAATGCCCGACCGTGCGCCGATGATGCAGGACTGGTGTGCTCCTCGGTGAGCAAGGCACGCGTATCTGCTGCACCCTTGGTCCTGCAGAGGAATCCTCCCCTCAAGTTTGCTATCAAAAATGCCTAGAAACGGAAGATAAGGACCTGAAGCACATGAGTGGAAAGGCTCAAAGGGAAATGAGAATGCAGAAATGTGTGTTGTGGCAGAATGAGGCGCTTCTTGGCCCAGCTGAGCTGTAACCGAAATGCCTTGCTCAGGCAGCTGCTCAACTCATACGGGAAAGCGAGTGGATGGCATAGAGAAATTAATGAGAAGATCAAGAAGAATAACTGAGAACAGGAAAGGGGGAGCCGGCAAAGGAAGATAGGAATGGAGTCTTTAATTCACCAGCTGCGGATGGGCTCAAATAGGTGTGATCCACAGCACAGGAGCGAGGACGCAGCCTGGCCCTCGCTTTCGCGGCGTTCCTCACAAAGGGGCTGGCCATCCCGATGCAGAAGAGTGAGGTCAATGCTAAAATCTGCAGCACTTCTGAATCTTAAAATCTCCTTTGTTGTAAGGTGTGGCTCTTCCACAAATTCAGCACTGGATATCTACCTACCTGAAATTTCCCCATGCTTTCAGCTGCAGGTGTTGTCCCTAGTTTTCCTTCTGAGTTGTCAGGTTACGGGTGCTGGTAAGCAGCTGCTCCCTTCCAGCCTGGGGCTGTCGCGGTTTCAGTGGTGCTGATGGGATGGACAGTGCTGCAGTTTGCCAGGGGAGCCCCCAGTCTGCAACACTTGGCTAAACTCAAGGAAATAATAATGTAAATATCAGCCCCTTGGACAGGATCAGTCTGTTCTCCCTCTTAACCAAGAAAGAAAGAGAACCAAGCCTGGGGGGGAAGGGGAGGGGGGGAGTCCAACGGGGCTTCTCCTGTTCACAGACCCACTCTGTTATTCTCTGCAAGTCGTTATTTGTGCTGGCCTCCAGCATGTCCCTGAGCAGAACAAGCTGGAAATGGCTTCTAGTTCTTATTTGTGTCGAACTGCAGCTGTACTTGGACAGCTTTTTAAAGTTTTGCTGAACTCCTTCAGGAGTCAAACTGAACCCGACATAAATACCGCTTCAGCTCCCTGCTCCTAACAAAAAGCCTGGGTAAGGAAGCATCATTAACAGAGCATGACTTCAACCCATAAACGACGGTTTTTCTTTGCATCCCAGCTGAGACATGATCCAATATGCAAGAAAGTCTTCAACAAGAAGCGCAAGCCCTTCAGCTCTTTGAAACAGAGACTGCAGGGAACAGAAATCACCACTGTGAAGAAGCAGCCCCCGCAAAAGGTATAGTTAAAATTGAAGCGTGCGTGTTATCTCCATATGAAGTCTTTCATTCAGTAACGCTATTGTTTCCTCCGGGAACAAAGCCTGGATGTTGTGGATGAGTCTCACATATGTGCTTGACTCGGTGCCAAATTCTTTCTTCCCCCTCCCTGTGCTGCTAGTGTTTGAGAATATTTCTCCGTTCGGAAGCCAAACCAGTAGGTGTCATGACTACTCTGGGCACGTAAGTGTTTCTGCTCTGCTCTTCTAGGAAATGTTCATGTATGTATCCTAAAGACTGTGCGGGTCTCTGACAGCTTCCTCTTCACTTAAATCTGAAAGAGAGCGTGATCCAAGATGGTTGGTGCATGAATGCCCCAGCTTGAACCTGAAAGCTGTTAGTAGCCCCAAATCTTCCATGGATGAAGCTACAGAGATTCACTGCTATTGAACTCGAGGGTTTAAAAATGTATTTAAATTGAACTTATTTACAGAGCTGGAGCTTACCAGAACAAGTTTTTTTTCATGCATTGCTGGGGAGGAGGGGGATACATGGACATGGACATGCATGTGTATAATTTTGCCCAGAGATGCCAAATCACTGCTGATTTGGTATCCATGCAGACTGCTGTTGTAAAATGTCCTTTAAAATCAGTTGTGGAAAGAAACAGAAGTGCACAAAGGTTTAAAGCAAGAAGAAGAATCTGACAAGTGGAGGAGAAGGGAAGGTGTTGGTCATAGTGTCTTTTCTATTCCCTCTTAAGTGCCCTTTGGTCTGCCACGACCAGAGTGTCTTGTTGGAGGGCATTGTTCTTTTATCCATCTTCTGGTGCCGTCAATAGATAGCAAAGGGCTAAATCAGCTTTCCTATGCCTTTCAAAAAAAGCAAATTTCTTTTGTTTGCAACATTTTTCCTTTTCCTCAGAAAGGAAGAACCGTCACTCTAAGATTTTTCTCTGTCCCTTGCAAGGGGGAAATACAGTTTGTCTTCCTTTATTTCCATTACAGAAACAGCCAAGGAAGAAATGTAACTGGAGGCAGCACCATGAGGATTTTATTAATACTATTAAATCAGCCAAGCAAGTCACAAAAGCTCTGAAGGAGGGCCAACCTCTTCCGCCTCCTCCCCCACCAAGCATCAATCCAGGTTTGTGGTCTATTTTATCTTATTACTGATCTTGTACTGATCTTTGGTAAAGCAGTGACCTCTTATTATCCACAGCTGGGCTTCAGTTTTGCACCCCCCGGCACAACACAACGTGAACATTAATTCCCTCCATACTCTCTAATTTTCAGCTGTATTTCTTGGCTTAAATTGAGTAGGTTTGCAATGCGGAGGTGGTGGGGAGGAAGAGAAAACTAACCGTACCTTTTAAGTTTAAAGGCAGCAAGTTTGGGGTCTGATGTTAGACAGTGCTTTGGGAGGAGAGTCGGGGTGCCTGTGTTCTAGCACAGGCTGTACCACGGTGTAACAGAGGGTGAAATACATCCCCTCACCATTCAAAACAACTGTAGTGCACAGGGGCTTCCCCACTCCCACCTGATGGCTTTTCCACTGTCCCCTTCTCCTGGGTAGTTAGGGGAAGTCAGTTAGAAAAGGACGGGTCTGGTTTACTACTAATACCAGGTGTGGTCTCGGTCTCTAGATCCGTGCTAGAAGTTACGGATCTAAAAAAGATGCGCATACAGCCAGTGTTTCTCATGAGCTGTGATTTATGAAACGTGGGACCAATCTTGGAAAGGGTCTCAGTGGAGTCCTGCGCTAGGAGGGCAGAGGGGAAGGGGGGGGCTCTCTGGGCTCGCTTCCAGAGCAGGGATTCGTGGCTGATAGCAAAACCAGCTGGTGTGATTGCAGCCTTTCTCCTCTTCTAGACAACAGCGATGCAGTATAAGCAGCAGGACATCTTCCTTCCTTGATTGGGGTCAGGCTCCTCTCCGAATTTCCACTGCTGAATTCTTTAATGACTCTTACTCCGTGTCTGAGACTCCGAGAGCAGACCTCTCCCTTTCCTTCTCCCTCTTTGAGGAAACGGAGTTGTGCAAGAGCTGCTGTAGTTGTGGAGGAAGGAATTGGAGAACGGCTTTTTAAGAAAGACAAATTGCTGAGGGGCTTAGTGAAGATGTATATCCTATGCTACAGGACTGTATATCCTGCACTACAGGACTGGAGAGAAAGTACATGGATTGCGGGGAGGAGAGAGATTCCCCTTGCCACTCCTCCTCCTACAAATAGAGCCCAAAGCTCCCCGTTCTCCCCTGAAGTGCCAGGTCCCCCTGCAAGCCCCCCCAAAGCCAGGCGTCTGCCCTGTCTCGCCCTCCCCTTCTGCCTTCAGAACCATTTTGCCCACGCTGCTGGTCTGGGGCTGGCTTTTGGTGGCTGCTTGGGCCTCCTTTTCTGGGCTGTTCCTGGGAGAAATGATTTGTAAAGATGCTATATCTGTAATATTAGGATAAAGACACTTGGGCTGCTTTTGTAGAAGGCGCGGGGTGGGGAGGAAGGGTCTGAGGACAGCAAGGGCAGTGCGAGGGCTGAATGTGACTGCATTGACTCCAATTCATTCATTGAAACGAATAGGACTGCACCAGTGATAAATGGAGCTGAAGAACTTTTAGCAGAATCAGGACTATAACACCGTCAAAAACGACTCTAGGAAGCACTGCTGTGTGTTCTTCACGATGCTGCTTCACACCCAGAAACCTGGCTCTCGGATGTGCCTCAGCTGGCAGGGCACGACTTCTTAAGCAGTATTTTGTCAGTGTCCAAAGGAAATGGATTTTGCGAAAACAACTAACAATCTTAATGACCAATCTTCAAAAGTAGTCTTTAAATCATCGGTTTAGACTACTCGAGGAATTTCTAAATATGGCTTTTTCTGCAGATACGTTAATTGTGAGGTTGGGGGTGGGAATAGGACAAAGATAATAAAATCTGCTTTTATTAAGCCCCATGGATTTATTTCTGAAAGCAATTGCTGTTTGCTGGGTTAATACCGTAAGCACGTATTTTGGGATCCCAAGTGCTTTTCTAGAGGAGGTTTTTGTAGTTCTCTTAAGTTTGTACTGATGGGAACTGATGGGAGCTGATGGGAACTCGCCATGGTCACCTGCTGATGGAGCCAGGTTTTGAACTACATCTTGAGTGCTCCAGTAAAGCAGAGCAATTCTTCTCCTGTAGTGCATAAACTGTGACACAAGTTGTTCCTTTCTCATGATCAGACTATATTCAGTGTCCACACTGCTCACGAAGGTTTAATGAGGCTGCAGCAGAGAGGCACATGAAGTTTTGTGAAGAGCAAGCTGCCCGCCGTGCCTTTGCTGCAAAGACCACCGGACAGGCTTTGGTAAGCAAACGCAGTCACCCTTGTCTTGTCCTGGAGGCAGATTTGCCAAACTGTAGTTTATGGTGAGTAAAGACCTATATTAATATAAAACTTAAAACTCCAGGGAAGTTGGTAAATTCTTAAGACAAGACACATGCTGAACACCAGGCTAGGAGTTCCCTGAAACTGGAGCCCTTTGTCTGAAATAAAAAATGACAGAACATGATAGTACGAAAAAGTTGGGCCACAATTTCTTCAGACTCTTCTGCGATCGGATTCCAGGGTAACAGCTGTAGGGAAGCAGAAATCTGGCAGCTTTTGCAATATATAAAGAAACCTCTTCCTGCTCTTTAGGGCTCCCTGCTGTTTGCAGGTTTGCTGTTCCCTGCAAATGTATAGCTGATTTATTCCCTGGTCGCTAGGCACAAGGCCAAAGGGCTAAGCCCCTTTGGGGAATCAGAAAAGTGGAGCTAATTGGCAGTGTCTTCAAGTGAGCTCCTATTTTATTATAGAAAAAAAAATAACGTAAACAGTTCCTTTAGGAGAGTACTGATTTTCTTTTTTTTTTTTTTTAAAGATGTTTGAAAATCTTATTACTCTTTTACCTATTTTGGGTAGGAGAAATGGCTTCCAAATGGGAGGGGGTGCACCTTTTTTCCTGTTCCTTCCTAGCACTGCTTCAACAGCGATTTGGAGAGTTGCCACCGGGCTCCGTAAGCTCTTTGCTAAAGGTGTGTGGATTGTGCATCTTCTTTTACTAGGGCAAGAAACCAGTGACTCGGAGAAAACCACCAACCTTAACAACTGCTGTGTTATCGCTTCAGAAGAGAGTACAAGAAGGTGCCAATACAGACAAACCTAGGCCAGGTAAGGAGTTCATTTAGCCATGTTTATGTTTTTCGTATAACACACACTGATGTATTTGAGGTGGTGGGTGGCATTTTTAAAGCAGAACCCAGGCTTTGGAATCCAGTTTTCTGATAGAATAATAAACTATGAAATTTTTTTAATTTTTTTTTTTTTTTGCAAGTCCAGGCCTTGACATGAAATCCTAAACTCATTTCCATACAACACTTGTTAGAAATGAGAAGGGTCAAAGATTTCCAAGTGGATGTTGTTGATATTGAATGGCTTTCCAAGTCGTTATCCTGGTCTGTTGTGCCGAGTGCATACACAGAGGTTTTCGTGTGGGTTCTCAGGAGGGGCTTCTTAGCCTTTTCAATTAGAGGTCCTCAAACAGACGTCTCTATATAGACCTAAAATATGCAATCTGGGTGTGAGGTTCCTTCTGTCCCATAAAGGACTCCATAACCTTTAATCTTCGATGTTAAGATTTATTCCACCTTCTTTAACTTTTCTTAAGTCCATTTAGATGAAGCATCAAGCTTTGTATGTTGTTTGTTCCATCTGACCTTCCCCCTGTTGATTCAGCCTTAAAATTAACCCCACCACATCCCTAAAACAGTTCCCTCTAAGCAGGACACCATATAACATGTTTGCTAGCACCATTGCTACTGGTACTCATGACCTGTACTCAGTCTATGTTTAAGTGTTTTATAAAGTTATTTTAATGGTTATTTGTAGTATAACCTGTGAATGACAATCCATACTGCTCTTTGTATCAATGTCTTCGATCCCTACATTTCTGGGTTTTATATTGAATTTATGTAGGTTATAATTTTTTATGGCAAATAATTTTTTTAAATAATGATCTGCAGAGACCTCTCCAGGAATGCTGCAGAAAACCAGAAAATCTTTGGCTGTATCTACTGGAAAAAAACCTTCAGGAGAGTTTGGGTAAGAAATATTTTTTTATTTCAACATTATAACATAAAAGGACCTTGTGTGCTTTTGCAACAGGATATTGTATATACACAGTGTTTGCAGTATGAACTTCTTTGTATTAATTGAAGCAATCAGTTGCACTGAAAACTTTTGCAGAGCTCCTCATAGCCTATACTATTCTCAGTATAGGCTGCTGAGAATATTCCTTCTGGTGCTAAATGTTCTTTGGTTTGAAGCAGCTCCATCTCAAGTAGGCAGTGACTGTGTTCTGCCATAACAGGCATCTTGAGAGGATTTGCTGCTCGATAATGCAAACCTCTCTAGGTCTTATGCTCTCACAATGTGCTTCCGATGTCCGAGTGAGGAAGATGCCAGCATCCATTTCAATAATCACTATGCCAGGATGACGGTGTGGAGGTTCTTCCTTCTCCTCGATGTTTACTTTCCCAGACCATGATGTCTGGTGCTTCTGCTCTTCAGACCATGCAGTCAGTGTTGTTCCCAACTCAGGCCATGCAGAGCCATGTCAGGGCAGCAAGAAGGCCTTCCAGCCCCTGCTGAAGTGGTTGTGGTGCTGTTGTGCAAGGGGATGGCTCAGATGATCAGCATCTTGCACCCCTGTGAGATGCATATGACTGCAGAATATGAGATCCTGGCAGGGAATATGGCCAAGACAGATTCCCTGTAGCTGGCAAGGTATTTTGAGCCTGGGAGATGAGCTTCTACAAGTGCTTGGAGCACAGGATGAACAGTAACATGCACAAAACAGTCTGTGGCAGAGACTCAAAGTCTTTGTAGGGTCCTTCTATGTGGAGCTTTGCTGTCCTTGATTGCTGCTGGTCAGTGGCTAAGTACCTTCAACTGTGGGGAGGGCTGCAACGGGCGTGGGAGTGTTCAGTCCACAGTGCCACCATCAACTCTACCTACCTCCTTGACTTTGCCAGCTACAGGAAAAACTGTTGACAGTATCCAGTGATCTCACCTGGTCTTCTCCACTCCCCGAATTACCCGTGACTGTGTTAGCAGTGTAGTAACTCTTACGGTTATCGTGCAGTGTCTTGCAGACCACCAACAGGGGTTTATTGATACTATCACCATTCTCAAGGTTTAGCTATTGAACTCTGAAACTCGGGGCTTGACAGGCTTGGGGAGGAGACTCCAGGTATGGCCGAGGTTGTAGTTGCAGCCAGTTTACAGAGGGTTGGGACAGCCGGTGCCTCCAGCAGCTCCCCAGGACAGACATCCACACTAGCGTCCAAAATACAGGAGAGAGTACTGTATGTCCCTGGGAACTGTGGAATCGACTGGCCTGGGTGAGCTTGTAGATGTTGGGCTGTTGACAACTGCTGCTGCATTTTCTGTAAAACTTGAGCTTTGCCAGGTGCTTTACAGAGCACTTTGGGCTAGCGAGAGATCAGTTTCAGGGCGAAGCAAGAGTGCTTTTTAGCTGAGAAAGCAGACATGAGAAACCGGCTTTGAGTGATGCAAATAAATGTCCTCACCCTTAAGTGCCTGGAAATGGTTTCCAGGATGAGCTGCTCCATCATCTTCCCAGGGATCAAGGTTTAATCTTCTTAGGTAAAATGGAATAAAATATAAATGCTGTTTCTATGCAAATAACAAGTACAGGGCTTGTTGCTGCTTTCAGGCCACAAATGCACAACAGAAGATAGAGTGGCTGGTCAGCAAGGATGTGTTAAGGTCTTCTTCTGAAGCATTATGGGAGAGCTTAAGCAACACAATTTTCCAGCACCTCTTCCACTCCGAGTGCTATAGCTACCACATTCAATAAAATAAGCAAACTGAAATTCACTTTTTTTTTCTTCCCTCCCCCCGCCCCGCCTTAGGTTACAAAGTTTATTATGCTGTCCTTTTTAAAGTTGTGAGATTATTTGTATATCCGTTGCCAAAATTTAATTAACTGATTGCCTAAAAGGAGATGGACTCTACCAGTGGTTCACTCAATGGTTTCAAGAAAAAGTAGGAAGATCTAACATCACGATTTTTTTTTTTCCCTAATGCTTTGATATATTGAACAAGACAGATGAACATTTTGGAATGTTGTGTATATATTTAATAGAATCCTCCAGTAAACAATAAATGATAAATGGTAGTGATTGATAAGTGATGAACGGCCGTGTAAGCTGTGCATCAGCTTCAGGGCACTTCAAGTTCAGACTAACTAAAACCAAATCTCATTCTTCCATTAAAATATTCAATGGCTTTTAAAATTGATTGGCAAGACAGAGATGTCATGGAGGCATATCCCCTTATTTTTTGGCCACCTGATTTATTACCAACCTTGGATCACCTTGCATAAACTTTCAATATTGCAATATGTTGGGCTGGGTTTTTTTTTTAGCCCAACAGTTCCCAATAAGGCTTTCAATTAAAATCCATAAGGAATGTTCTTGCCCTTTAAATGTTTATAGGGTAAATGAAGATGAAAAGTAGTTGAACACAGCAATAATAAATACCAAACTTTACAAAGTTTAATTAAACTCTAATTAGGCTGTAACTAATAGTGACTAGATAAATATAGAAAGGACGACACTGAAACCAGTGTAACTCCTGTAGCTAGCCTGTCTTAGAAACGACGAGCATGAAATTAGCCCAAATATATTAAAGCAGTGCTTCTTAGCCTTTTTTTCAACCCAGGAAGGGGGTGAAAAAAGCCCATACCAGACTATCCTGTGCAATGTTATCACAATTGCTTTCTTTTACAACAAAATAAATGAACCCTGAAAAGTTAGAGCAAGTTTTACCGTGTTTGTTTCCTCCCCCGCCCTGCGTTATTTTCCATCTGTGTGTAGAGCAGTTTGGTATCGATTCCACAGATCATTTTCCCGCGTCTTACAGAAAATGTAATTATAAGGACAGGAACGGTGTATTGAAGAAGAGTACTTTAAAATTCTGCTAGCAGAAAAATGAATCAATCAATCATTAATATATGGAACTTGCCATCCTATTTCAGACTGGCTAGGAAAAACTCCTAAGAATTAACAGCAACTCATTAGTTAAGAAAATGGAAAGTCCCAACAGAAACCGTTGGTAAATAAAACCAAAGGAATCAGAAATTAACATAGTTTCTTACAGGGGATGGGAAATGAGCACTAGAAATAGTTGTGTTTACAGAGAGGATGCAGAGTCTTCTATTCTATGTGGTGTAATTTTAGCTCCTTAACATTATTTCAGCAGATTTACATGGTTTCCTTTTTTTTTTTTTTATAAAATGAGTATTTTTTTTCTGTGAGACCAAATTTTTACTAAGTTTCTCTATTTTATGGTATCACTTGATTATAATAATTTTCTTGTTTAGTTGGCATGTATCACTCTACTTCTACAGCCTTCCAACAGTGTTCAGAAAAAAGAGTGTTTTTATTTCTACTATGATGTGAGGTAAAATATCCTAAGATCTCCAGGAGGGTGAGTGCTTGAACTGGGTCAGATCTTTCTGTTCTGTCTGCCAGCTGCTACGCCACGCTCCATCCTACCTTCCCCACGCCACCTCTCTGCCCTTGCATCCTCCTCTCCCATTTGGAGAAGGAAGGGGTTGTGCCGGAGAGGAGGGAGGACCGGCCACTGGTGGGGCTGCCTTCTTCCTGCACCTTCTTCCTGCACGTTCTTCCTGCACCTTCTTCCTCCACCTTCTTCCTCCACCGTACCCCCAGCGCGTGCGGGGCC